GTAAGAGGAACTGGGGTGCCCTCCCCTGGAAAAGAGGTTCCCTCCCCTTGACAGCTCCACAGAGCCCCAGCCACCTGCCTGCTGGGTCAGCCCCATATGAAAAGGGAAGCCCTTTGTAATCCGACGGGGATTACACCACCCAACAATGCAGCACTGAAAGAGCGACAAAAGCCCCGTATCAAACGCCGCCGAGGGGGAGCTCGGCTATGATCTCCCACTACTACCAACACTGACTCCTCGGCCACCTCTCATCTCCCCGAGAGGCTCTCCCCCCTTTAGCATTTGCTGCCTTTGCTGTCCTCCTTCTGGCCTCTCATCTCTGGGATCTGGCCTTTTATCAGCACATTCCTTTTCATTTGCATTGCGGTGTGGGGAGGGACAGCAGGTCTCTCTGATCTGATAGCACCAGTAGAGTCAGGAGGATCCTCGGGGCGCGAAGGGTGTGTGTTTGAGTGTGCGTCCTCTCCTACAAACACACACACAACACACACACACAACACACTGCATTCTCCAGATAGGCTGTAACCTTTCTGTATTAAAAAGCACCCCTACTTGTCTTTCAAGCTCCCTTTTTCTTCGCTTTTTATAAAAAAAACAACCCCAAAAATTAAGCTTTCAGCTGTGAAATTCTGTAAAAAGGTGCCAAAAAATAGCTTCGAGTTGTTGTTCCTTGAGCTGTGACAATACCTGGAGAACTATTTGCATAAATCACCTTTTTAAATGGCCGAAATCTCAACATCGGAGCTCAAACGAGTCCTTATTTAAACATGTCACGGCCCATTTTCCGAGCCCTTGACAAAGGAAAAGGTGTTTGTCCTGATTCTTCAGGGTCTGTTGTAGATGTTTGTGCAGCTCCGGGAGATAAAAAAGAGGTAGTTTACCTTTCGGATTTCCTCAGAATCATTGTATTCCCAACCCACCCATTGCTCAAACACATGTCAGTGCAGGGGGCGCTTTGGTGGTGGCCGAGTTAAGGCAAAAAAAGGATGAAAAAAAAAAGTGATGATAGATTGAGGACACAAAAGACGGAGGAGCAAATGTGCTGCTAAATCCACAAGCTTCAGTCAGCCTCACATTGACTGGCGCGGAGAGTTACCTCTGCCGGTTCCCGAATCAATGTTAGCCCTGAAAGCATTGAATGGAAAATCATTCAAATTGTATTATGCTAGAATATATGAGCCATTTCAAAATATTAATTCAGCATTATTTGAGGTGTCTGTTAGGAGCCAGGGTTACAGCTAGCAGCGCTGAGTGATGACACACCTCTATTACATCTGATGTATGAATGTGTGAGAGGGACCTATTTTTCATTACCAAGACATTGTCCCTGGAGGGAGTTGTTAAAGAAGAATCTATGAAGGATCCCTCTGGAACAACTGGCCCCTGTCATAAGCCGAGAGGAGACGGAAAAGGGGAGAACAGCACTATCGGGATTGAGACACCAGGAAGAAAGAAAGAAAAAAGAGAGAGAAAGGAAGGAAGAAAGTGTCTGCCTTTGCTTGTGATCCAGCACATGCCGCCTCTCCCCCTGTCCAGTTAATTGGAATACAAAGCAGAGCAGGGTCGATGAGAGAGCGGCGAGGATGAGGAGGAGGCGGGGGGGCGGGGGGGCGGGGGGGGCTGTCTGTCTCCAGCAACCTTCACTGCTCGCTGGGAATTGACTGGGAAACCAGCGACCGAGACCGACACACTGTCACTGGTAAAATGAACTGTCACCTTGCATTTCTCAGCCTCCTGGCAGCCTCGAATTGGCCGCTTTGAACCATGTGACGTGACACTGATTGAGTTCTGGTTTCCCCCCCCTTTCCTCCTGGGCTCTGGAGGAAGGAGCCGGTTTTAATTTCAGACTCCGAGAGCCCCTGGCATCAGTTCAGACCCTTTGCGTGCTCGCGCCAGGGCTCTATCCTCCCTCACCACCCCTCATTATTTCAGCGCGCTGCTTCGTTACGCCGCCTCTCAGCCGGCCTTGTTTTTCTTACATCGCGCCGTCATGGCGGTCTGACAGTTCGCACAGAGGAGGAAAACTATTAGGGGTAGCCATTTGGATCCTGGAGGCAATCCCGGGGAGTATTAAGACGTTAACCCTGGGCAAGTCACTTGTCTCTCCCGGTTACTATGCTGATGGAGTGGGGAAAGGGATCCGGTCGCTAGGGGGACCCAGGAGACGGGAGCTTCAGGTCAGCTGGCGCTCCCAGATCCAATAGAGCGAACGGGATGGGGGATGGTTGTCAGGAGCCTCCCAGGCTGGGTTATAAAGAGCCTCAGTGCCAAAACAAAGGAAGGGAAAAAAGTGTGCCACTCATACCAAGGCCAGAAAGCCTCAGAGTGTGTTAAATGTTCATCATCTGGGCTGTTATGAACTCCTTACTTTGTGTTTTATTGTCTTTTTATTCAAACATTATGGACTTTATAATTCAAGCCAACTATGATGTCTG